ACCTCTCTTGCTTCCTAGGGGGCTCCTTTTTGTGCCCATCTTCCCAAACTACCTGACAGCTAAAGCTGCCTTTCAAATAGGGCACCTCATTATCAGGTCAGGGGGCAGTCATAGCTCTTGCATGTGGTCTATGAGATTATGGCTGACTAACCGTCTAAGTCCTCCTGCTGGCCCTGGCATCCTGGTTCTGGCTTCTCCCTCCTCCTGCTTAGGAACTTTCAGAGGCATTCTTTCTTTTGCATGCAATTCTCTTTTGCTTCTCTTTACCTGACTAACACCAACAGAAATAGCATTGCCTAAGACTATTCATCTTTGAATCCTCTGAATAAAATTTCCCACTGTGCCTCATTTTTCATACCAGGGCACTTATTACAACTTGTAATCATAAATGTGTTTGTTCTAAATTACTTTGTGTGGGATCTTTCTATTAGAGTATGTACCACGAACACAGCAATGATGTCTGTTTTTTTTTTTTTTTTTTTTGGAGACAGAGTCTTATTTGTCACCCTCAGTAGAGTGCCATGGTGTCATAGCTCACAGCAACCTCAAACTCTTGGGCTCAAGCGATTCTCTTCCCTCAGCTTCCTAAGTAGCTGGGAATACAGGCACCCACAACAATGTCCAGCTGTTTTTTAGTGAGACAGGGTATCATTCTTGCTGAGGCTAGTCTCGAATCTGTGAGTTCAAGCAATCCACCCACCTCAGCCTCCCAGAGAACTGGGATTATAGGCTTGAGACGCCTGTACAGGATAACAGACTAAAGAAAAAGGCAAAAGACAAAAACATGGTAATAAATTATCAAAGTATAAAGAAAGGAAAATGTGATTTTTTTCTGCCTTCAGCAAATTTTCATAAAACTATAATAAAAGAAAGCTAATAAACCATTAAACTAGAAGGCTCTATCTTTCTGGCTTTCTGCCTAAAGAAATGACTATTTAGTAACTTTTGTGAATTAAATGCTCTCAAAAGAGACTAACTCTCCCATTTTAAATATTTCTGCAATGACAAGCAAGGAAGAATGTGTATTGCTAAGAGATAAAATTAAATTCTATCTTTTTTTTTTTGTTTGAGACAAGAGTCTCACTATACCCTCAGTAGAGTGCTGTTGTATCACAGCTCACAGCAACCTCAAACTCTTGGGCTCAAGCAAATCTCTTGCCTCAGCCTCCCAAGTAGCTGGGAATACAGGCACCTGCCCCAAAGCCTGGCTATTTTTTTTCTTTGTTGCTGTTGTAGTTGTCATTCTTGGCCTTGGCAGGCCTGGGCTGGGTTCAAACCTGCCAGCTCTGGTATACATGGCTGACGCCATAACTGCTGAGCTACAGGCGCCAAGCCTAAATTATCTTTTAAGTTAACTATCTCAAGAAGAAAAGGAATAGAATGTTTGGGGAAGGGAGAAAAAAAGGTGATATTTAATTGAAATCCCCATGGCAGGGAGAGAGGATATGTGGTCTAGACGTGCACTGATAGGATACAGGGAATCACTAGGGAATTCACTTATTCCTTCTTTGCCTTAGTTTCAACTATAAATTCCCTATAGTACCAGTGCTCTCTTTCTGTTAAAATAGCTATGGTTTTATCGGTCATGCATTTATTTAATAATCTCTTGACATACAATAAATACAGAAAAGCTGTGTGTTTGGGCTCTGAAAAGGTTGTCTGGCCTGGTGGTCAGGCAGTGTTTCTGCACTGGTTTTCTGTTACCTTTGATTTTAGTGATTTATAAAACATCTGTTTTTGTTGGTTACTCTGACCCACAATACTTTAGAAACCATATAGAAATGTTCTCATTAATAGCTTCAATTAAAAGAAGTCCTTCAGCAGAATAGAGAGGAAACTCTGACATATGATATTTCTGAAATCTGAAGTATGTTTTTGATAATGTTTCACAGCTCAGAGAATATGAGCCTTTTGACCAAACCTATCTGACCCTGTACAGGACTGGCTAGCTTCAAAGAAATTTTTTTTCATTCCAAAGTTGGCACAAACTGGGCTGTCTGCCATCAGAAGATAAGCTCTTCCTGGTCTCGGAACAGTGGTGCTGCTTGAGTGCTGGGAACAAACTGAGACTGACACTTGTGACAGAAACTCCCCTTAGGGTCTCAATGGGACCATCTGACTTGGTCTTCATGGAGAAGGGGAACTACTGTGTTAAACATATACAACACAGTTGTCTCTTTTCGCACAGGCCTTAGTTGCTTCTGAAATAGTAATTTCTGTACTTCATAGAAAACATAGTGATCAAGGTTGTCTTTGAGTTCACTGATAGTTACACAGATCCTTGGGGGTAGAACAGAACTCTAGAAAAGCTATTCTGAAAAATAAGAGGACCAGACTGCCTTTGGTTGGAAGAGGTCACTCTGGGCACTTTTCCTTCAATGGCTGCTATACTGAGGGGTCTGTACAAGAGGAGTCAAAATGTATCCATCTTGGGCAACCCACAAAGTTATCTACAGTAAGGAAGCTGAACGTAGAAAGTACAAGCAGAAAATAAAGGAATGTTATGACTACACATTTGTATCTTTGAATTATTCTCTTTCATGTATGTGCAACATGTAGGTGTATAAAACTCTCCCTAGCACACAAGGCAGATAGCTCAATATTGTATGTTTTTCTTTCTATATATTTATCAAAGAATTATTAGTGGTTAAAGAACAATTTTACTTCTATATTACTTTGATTTATAAACTGGAAAGCCTGATCATTATCCAGAAAATAAGAAAATATTAACAATCTGACCTTTTTACACCCAAAAGATATCTGAGCAGCCCTGTTCTCAAACCCAACACCAGATGGCTATGGCCTCTGTTCAAAAGTCTGCTTTTCAATAAAAGTCTGCTTTGGCTGCCTCCAACTGAAACCCCCAGGCAAGGCACTTGGACTTCTGTTGCCTTGGACAACTTGACCCCAGGTGAGCTGTAACCTGAACACAACTTAGTTCTAACTCAATTTTCTCCCTTTTCTTTTGACACTAATATTCTACAGTCATACCATCTTGGGGTCCTATATTCTACTACACTTTTCCTTATGTTCTCCTGTACAACTGTCCACAAGTCAGACTCCCTCTGAGGTTCTGTTTCCTCAGTATTGTGCCATCTCAGATGTACCACCGGAAATGCACCACACAGAAGGCATATTCATCACAGATGAATAACTGCTGCTTTCTTGTTTTTGAAGTTTGTGACTATCGTACTGTCATTTGTGTCACCACCTGTGTTCCAAGGTATGAATCCAAAGCATTTACAACACCATTAACACTGGCAACAATTCATCAAACTTTAGCTTCCAATTTTTTTTATCTTTGCTCAACAAGTAAAATGAGTACCACCAAAAGGATCTGGAGGAACAGCTTTTAAGATGTGAATTGCTTGTGATTATTCACAGGAAGTGACCGTATCACCAGTCTCATAGTGCCTTCTCATCAGAGGGACTCAGTACCTGCTGTCTCTCTGTCTCTGTCCTTTGTCCCCTTGGAGTATGTGATCGATGTCCTGTCTTGGGGAAGTTTTACCTAGATCCTCATTGCTAAGTTCATGAGTATTCCCTTCTCCAAAGCCTAACACTGGATATGTGCCATGAAAAGCCAAGTAAAACAAAAACATATAACAAAAACCTGTATCTGATCTGTAAGTGTCTTAGATAATTCTATTTAAATCTACACAGATTTAAGTCCATGGTACAATACTGGTTTACAACATTATGCCATGTTAAAGACCTTAAAATGTCTTAATGCCTTTCATACACATACATATTCCAAAGAAAAGAAAAATAATTTCTTTTACAATTCCAAAAGAAATATTCTCTAATCTTGCACTTCAAGGGGACTTTTTGAAATTCATAGGACTTTCAAATAAAGTGCCTCCTCTTGAAGATGGATCATAATTAACAGAGAAGTACTTCCTGCTGTTCATTCTGAATGAACTGGAACAGAACTATTGTTAATTATTGTTTCTTCAATATATGTTTTCTTAGTAAGAGTGGACAAAAAAAAATGACTACCTTGATAAAGTAGCATCCATACTTTTGATTTCTATTCTGTTGCAAATTATCTTACTTCTTTCAGGGCAATTTAACATCACTATAAAGATAATCTCAAAAAGTTATGCCAAGGCTTTGACATAAATAAATTCCTCAGCTAATGATATGTCTGTAGCTTTTGGACAAAACACAAAACCAGGAAAAGCTTACATTTGAGTAGAAGAGAAGATGCCACCCGCACAGCTCACCAAAGCACAGACCTGCAGATTCTGGGTTTGGCCCCTGTCTGTGTGTGAAGCCACACAGTTGCATGTGTGTACATACCAAGACAGCCTGCAAAGCCTGGTCATTATTACAACGAATAATTCACCACATGGGGTGACCTAAAGTTAATTAAAATTTCAAATGCTCAATAACTACATTTCTGGATTACTACAGTGGCTTGTGCAGGTAAACATGTACATGGTTGAGGGAAATTCTATCAGGCACTAGGCTGATGCAGACTGAAACCTCACTCTCTGAAAGCTACAGGTTAATCAATCGCCATTACATACTCTGGTTTGCAAGACACATAAAACTTAATGTCTTTTTAGGTATAGTAAGCATGTTTTGGGTCTTGTAGAATAATACCAATATTTCTTATATTTGTATAACTTTCTTTTCAAAAAATTTTCTTAAAACTTGTATAAATTTATAAAGTACAAGTATAACTTTGTTACTTACATAGTTGCACTGTGGCAAAGTCAGGGCTTTTAGGGCATCTGTCAATAAATAATGTACATTTGTATTATTTTTAATAACATGAAACATTAAAGGTAGAAGTAAATGCCAAAATTTTAATTTTCAGTAGGACTTTTAATGTAAATAAATGAGTACCCATGTGTCTCAGATTTTGATGCAAAAAAAAGACAGAAATAGCCCATGTCTGTCTGTGGTGAATGCAGCTAAGAAATCACTCTGAGCTCTAATTTCCTGAGCATGGTAAGTGGCTTTCCTGTCCATGCCAGTGCCTCCTCACTCACCGAGCTCCAGGTGGGTCTGTGTGCCCCAAGCTGTCCCCCTTCGGGGTCCTGGCGCTGTCCCTGCCGCGGAGGGAGTACATCTTCTGCACCACCACTTGGACCCTGGCTCCCTGGCTTTCCACCATGCCCAGGAGAGAGTCTCTCAAGGGAGCACTGGCTTGGATGGACTCATGGGTCTGGTCTGTCCCTTTGGTGGCCACCCCGCTACATACAACCTGGCCAAGAAATGCAAAAGAAATAGTTTCAGTTCACTTACAACAACAAGCTGCACATCAAAAAATGACATTTGTCAGCAACCCTCCAATGCATCTGCACCTCAAAGAAGGAAAGACGGAAATGCAAACAAAAGCACTGGTTTGGCACCTGTAGCTCAGCGGCTAGGGCACTGGCCACATACACCGTAGCTGGTGGGTTCAAACCCAGCCGAGGCCTGCCAAACAACAATGACAACTACAACCAAACAATAGCCAGGTGTTGTGGCAGGCACCTGTAGTCCCAGCTACTTGGGAGGCTGAGGCAAAAGAATTGTTTAAGCCCAAGAGTGTGAGGTTGCTGTGAGGTGTGACGCCAGGGTACTCTATGGAGGGCAACACAGTGAGACTCTGTCTCAAAAAAAAAAAAAAAAAGCAAAGAAAACAAAAGCACTGTGGCATGGGCCTATCTGCTATGTAGCTAACATGCTGAGGAGGTGAAGGTAAGTGAGAGTAGCCTGGACAGTAGTGGGTGTCTTCTGCCAATGAAGTCAGACTAGGCAGGTCTTTGAAAACATGCAGAAAGTATTGCATGGTAATTAAAAAGATTTCTTTTCTGAGATAACGATTTCAAAAGGACAAACTGAAAAACAAAATAAAAGAATGACCAAGGATTAATAAAAATGAATCATTTATTAAGTGCTTGTATATGCAATCTTCTAGGCTAAGCACTTTACATGCTCATGAATTCCTCCAACTCCTTATAACGACATTAAGTATCACAGTAAGACAATGCTTCTAGAGCACTTCTATATTCCAGGCTTTGTTCTCACATATTAAATGTGTTTATCCTCACCACTATCTGGGAAGGTAGACCACAGCATCATCCCCATTCTACAGATAAGAAAATTGAGACACAGAAAGACTACAGATCTTGCCCAGGGTCCCCAGTGGGAAGTGGCTGAGGCAGGATTTGAACCAGAGCATCTGATTCCGAAGTCCAAACTCCTAACTACTGTGCTGTACTGTAGCTTCTTGTCACTGTCATGAGACAAAAGATGTACTTCATGGGATTATTACACTGCTGTTTAAAATTATATATTAAAGCAGTAATGCACTTTAAACTACATTTTAAATGTTACAATTAAATCGATTAGAAAACCCTCCTTTTCAACAAATCCTTTTCAGACACTTTTTCTGACAGTCAAAGATTCTGCTTGATTGAACAGTACAAAACAGGATGAAAGTTAGCCTGCTTTTCTTTCTTATTCCACACCCTCCCCACTGGTCAGTCTTGCAAGATCTGTAGTCTCTCTGTGTCCCAATGTTCAGTGACAACCCCACATCGTCCAGAGACTTAAGCCAGTGCCCTGGATGCCACAGGATGCTCAGAACTCAAGAGTGGCCCAGGACACACTTCATGCCCCCTGCAAATAAACTCTGGCAGTTTCCTAAATTCATTTTGGCAGATGATCATGGCTCATGGCCAGCAGAATTCCAGAAAACAACCTCCAGCTAGTGTAATCTCAAGCTTATGCAGCTCTTTCTATCCTAAGGGATATAGATATGGAAAAGAAACACAAAATCTTCAACAAGTAAAGGAAGATTTAAACAGAATTCTTAGGCAATTACAAGATGAGAAAAGAGAAAATGAGAACTTTCACATACAGTCATGTACTTAAGGGCATTTTAGTCAACTAAGGATGGCATACACGACAGTGGTCCTACATTATAATGGAGCTGCAAAATTCCTGTTGCCTAGAGATGCACTCATGTGTCTGTGGTGATGCTGGCATAAACTGATGTACTGCACTGCCAGTCATGTGGAACTCAGAGCAGACAATTACAGATGGTACACAATCCTGGATACTGATAATGCACGACTATGCTACAAGTGCATGCATTTATTATACTACACTTCTTATTCTTATTTTAAATCATACTCATTCTACTTATTAAAAAAATGTTAACCATTAAACAGCCTTGGGCAGGTCCTTAATTAAGGAGGTATCCAGAAGAAGACCTTGTTAGGTTATGAGGTGACAGCTCCATGCCTGTTAGTGCCCTGGAAGACCTTTCTGGGGGATGGACAAATTGTGAAGGTGGAGACAGTAAACATTGATGACTCTGGCTCTGTGTAAGCCTGGGCTGAAGTGTGCATTGTGTCTTAATTTTTAACAAAAAAGTCTAAAGAGTTAAAAAAAAATCAAAAATGGAAAAGAGTTTATAGAATAAGGATATAAAGAAATATTTTTGTACAGGTATACAATGTGCTTTAGGCTAAGTGTTATAAATAGTTAAAAAAAAGTTTACAAGTAAAAATCTGCAGTAAGCTAAGGTTAATTTATTATTAAAGAAAAATACTGTTTTATAAATGTAGTGCAGATTAAGTGTCCAGTACTTACAAAGTCGACAGCAGCTGGGGACAGTGGCTCATGTCTGTAATCTTAGCACTCTGGGTAGCCGAGGTGGGTAGATCACCTGCGCTCAGGAGTTCGAGACCAGACTGAGCCAGAGTGAGACCCCATCTCTACTAAAAATAGAAAAACTACCTAGCATTGTGGCTGGCACCTGTAGTGCTAGCTATTTGGGAGGCTGAGACAAGAAGAACACTTTAGCTCCAAAAGTTCAGCTGTGACCTATGAGGCCACAGCACCCTATGTGGGTAACAGAGTGAGACTCTGTCTCAAAACAAAAACAAAAACATAGTCTACAGTAGTGTCCTCGGTCTTCACATCCACTGACTGCTGACTTAATGAGCAACTTTCAATTCTGCAAGCTCCATTTATGCCAAGTGCCCTATACAAGTGTATCTTTTTTTATCTTTTGTATCATATTTTTACAGTACCTTGTCTATGTTTAGATATACAAAAACTTGCTTTTACGTTACAGTTGACTACTGTATCAGTACCGTAACATGATGTACTGGTTTGTAGCCTGGAAACAATGGGCTGTACCACGCAGGCTGGGTGTAGTAGCTTTTGCCACCTCAGTTTATATACAAGTGCACTCTGTCATGCTGGCACAATAGAATCACCTAAGGACACATTTCTTAGAATGTATCTCATTGTTAAGTGACTTTTTAATAAATTAGATTAAAGATTTCAAATACATAATTGGACAGATGAAATACTGTAAAAAGACCACAATTAAATGCCAAACTGAACTCTAATATATTCAGGTACAATAATAATAATAAGATGCTATACCATACATATTTGATGTTTATTTGGTGGGGGACAAAAGGTGAATATCTTCACTTACAGTGAAGCTCTTTCAAATCCAGTCACCAATATTATTATAAGAACAAAATCTCCAAGACAATGGGAGTTTACCTGGCTATCAGGTGACTTATTTGTTAGACTCTGAATTCTAAATATCTGGGCCAAAGAGATGCTTCTTCTTGGAGTGGGTACATCCTGACAGTATACTTCACGAGTTGTTTCTGAAACTCCTTTGGCAACAATCTTCTGACAAAAGTAAGTATTCAGAATAGTAGGGCAACTTCCATCTGGGATAATAAGCTTTTGCCTGGAACAGGAAAGAAATTCAACAGTTTATTTACAATGTTGGATACTCCCCATATTCTTGCTAAATCAAGACGTATATATGACTTAATAAAAAAAAAAAAAAAGAGCAATGGCTTGCTGGCTAGAACAGTTGGAGCCGTTTCAGCCCAGCTACCTTCACATTCCAGCAGGTGCTCAATGATTCTGACTTTACTGTCCCCTCAGGGAAAAATACAGAGAATGAACAAAGACTACTTGGGCTCAAAGAAGTGCCCAGACAATGACATAAATGTTTACAAATACAACTTCAGATGTTCAACAGCTCCAATCTTTCAAAGAGCACACCATTAAATGCCACAGGAACATCTACCTTTGCTATCAAACTGACCACAGTTGCTGAAATGTCCCAGTATTATGTAGAAAAGGAGTCAGAGAATAGAGCAAATAAAATTCTACAGGTTTGCTCAGTTCTCCGAAATGAGAAAATGCTTTATTGCCCATTCCTCAAAGCAGGGACTGCTGCTCAACAGAAAGAAAAATTTAAGATTTCTGATTTGGAGAGGATGGAGCGGACATACATTCTCTATTCTTCTCAGTAAGTACGACTAAAGTGTTTGCCATTTTGTGTAAAATAAACATAAGAAGACACCTCTTAGCCTCTTATACCCCAGTTTTGGAGATGCAGTACCAAACGTAAAAAGAAGAATTAACATTCATTTTACACATTCTCTTCTAGGAAACAGAAGAGGAGAAAACACTTCCCAAAGCCAGAAAAAGTACAAAAGAAAATCAAATAAACAAAACTATAGACCAATATACCTCGAGAGTATAGAAACAAAAATCTGTAACAAAATGTTAATAAAAAGAATTCAGCAATATATAAAAGAAATTATATAATGTGACCAAGTGGGGTTAATTCCAGGAATGCAAGTCCTATGCAATATTTGAAAATCACCTTCATCAGGTTAAAGGCTAAAGAAAAAAAATCAGATGATTACATTAACCAATGCGGAAATCTGGCAAAATTTGACATCTACTCATAATTTTAAAAAAACTCAGAAAACTAGAATAGAGGACTTCCTCAATTTAATAAAGAGTTTCTACAAAAATTTCACGTTGTAATCAATGGTGAAAGAAGAAATGCTTTCCACTTAAGATGTAAAAAAAGGCAAAGACGTTTCTCTCAGCACTTTTATCCAACATAGTACTGGAAGTCCTAGCTAGTGCAATGGGGCAAGTGGAGAGCAGAGAAGGCACACAGATCAGAAAGGAAAAAATGAAAATGGTCTTACTGCAGATAACATGATTGCTTATGCAGAAAATCTTGAGGAATCTACAAAATAACTCCTGGAACTCTGAGTTCAGGAAGGTGGTAAGAATCAACACGTAAAACAATCAAATGAATTTCTATGTTATCACTGAACACATGAACACCAAAAGTAAAAATATAATGCTATGTTAAGTAAAAGAAAAATAAAAAAACCCAAAAAACCTTCAGTGTAAAGCTAACAAAACATGTACTAAACACTAAGCATGTTCTAAACCACTGATGAAATAAAACAAAGATCTTAACAAATGATGAGATATACCATATTTATGAACTGAAAGACTCAATACATTATAGATATCAATACTTCCCAAATGGATAGAAATGCTTACAGCAATTTCCATCAAAATCCCAATAATATTTTTTTCAGTGATATATAGCCAATTCTAAAATTTATTCAGAAAAGCAAAGGCATTACATTAGCTCAAACATTTCTACTTATATATAGCTGTAAGAATCAATATCATGTGGTATCAGTGGAAGGAGAGACACACAGACCAATGAAACAGAATAAAGAACCCAGAAATAGATACCACAAATACATAAAAACTATTTTTTAAATTGATCTCTACAGTATGACTTTTGTTTGTATGTTTTAGAGATAGGACCTCACTATATGTTGTGCTGAATGGTCTTGAACTCCTGGCCTCAAGAGATCTTCCTGCCTTAGCCTCCCAAGTAGCAGGGATTATAGGTGCCTGCCACTGTGCCTGGCCACAACTGATTCTCAACAAACGTGCCAAAGGAAGGGCAGACTTTGGACACTCGTAGGCAAAACAATGTAAGCTTCAACCTAATTCTCAGAGCTTCTATAAAATCTAACTCAAAATAGATCATGAACATAAGTATAGACTATGAAACTGTTCAAAAAATATATAGGAAAAAAATCTTTCATATCTAGAATTAGGTAAAAGTACTTAACATGTGAGATATAAAAGAGCTGACCCATTAAAAAAGTTTAATAAACTAGACTTCATCAAAATAAAAATTTTTCACCTGAGAAAAAACCTGTTAAGAGAATGAAAAGACGGGGGAGGAGCAAGATGGCAGCCAAGTAACAGCTTCCTTGCAATTGGGCATGGTCAGACAGGGTAGAGAAGACTCCAGGCATTTCTGGCTGGTGGGATCTGCCCAGAAACATCCCTTTGGGGACAAGGGAATCAGCGAGAGACTTCTGGACTGCATGAGGAGGACAAAAGCAGTGGAGAACTGGCAAGTGGTTGTGTGTATTCCTTCAGTCTAATCCTGCTGGCAGCTGTATTTCAGCTTTAAATAAAGTAGCAGTGAGATTGCAAACTGGAAAGGCCTTACTTGTGAGCTGTTTTGATTTTTTTTGGACTTAACACTCAGCTGAACTAAGAACTCAGAAATTAAAGGACACAACCTAACTTCCTCAATGATGCAAAAGATAAAACTAAGCATTGGACTCTCACAAAACAAGATGAATATAACACTACCACATTTATCAATTATCTCAATAAATGTTAATAGCTTGAATTCCCCACCAAAGAGGCATAGATTGGCTGATTGGATTTAAAACACAAACCGTCCATTTGCTGTCTGCAAGAAACACACCTAGCTTCAAAAGGCAAATTAAAACTCTGAGTTAAAGGGTGGAAGACAATTTTTCAGGCAAATGGGATTCAGAAGAAAAGAGGGGTTGCAATCTTATTTTCAGATACATGTGGATTTAAAGCAACTAAAGTCAAAAAAGACAAAGATGGTCACTTTATACTGGTCAAGGGAAAAATATAACAAGAAGGAGTTTCAATTCTAAATATTTATGCACCCAACTTAAGTGCTCCCAGATTCTTGAAACAGACCTTACTCAGTCTGTGCAATATGATATCCTATAGCACCATAATAACAGGGGACTTCAACACTCCTCTTACAGAGCTAGACAGATCCTCTAAACAGAAATTAAACAAAGATATAAGGGACTTAAATGATACCCTAGAACAACTGTGCTTGATAGATGCACATAGAACACTCCATCCCAAAGATATATTCTTCTCATTGCTCCATGGAACATTTTTCTCCAAAATTGATCATATCCTAGGACACAAAACAAACCTCAAAAGAATCAGAAGAATTGAAATTTTACCTTGTATTTTTTCAGACCACAAGGCACTAAAGGTGGAACTCAACTCCAACAAAAACATTCAACCCCACACAAAGGCATGAAAATTAAACAACCTTCTGTTGAATGACAGTTGGGGGCAGGAAGAAATAAAAGAGGAAATTGTCAATTTTCCTTGAGCATAACAACAATGAAGACACAAGCTACCAAAACCTGTGGGATACTGCAAAAGCAGTTCTGAGAGAAACATTTATTGCTTTTGATGACTACATTCGAAAAACAGAAAGAGAGCGCATCAACCAACTCACAAGCCATCCTATTGAATTGGAAAATGAAGAACAATCTAAGCCTAAACCCAGCAAAGGAAAACAAATATCCAAAATTAAATCAGAGATTGATGAAATTGAAAACAAAAGAATCATTCAGAAAATTAATGAAAAAAGGAGTTGGTTTTTTGAAAAAATAAATAAAACAGATAAACCTTTGGCCAGACTAACTAGAAATAGAAAAGTAAAACCTCTAGTAACCTCAATCAGAAATGATAAAGGGGAAATAACAACTGACACCACAGAGACACAAGAGATCATCTCTGAATACTACCAGAAACTCTATGCCCAGAAATTTGACAATGTGAAGGAAATGGGTCAATATTTGGAATCACACCCTCTCTCTAGACTTATCCTGGAAGAAATAGAGCTCCTGAACAGATCAACTTCAAGCACTGAAATTGAAGAAATGATAAAAAAACTTCCAACAACAACAACAACAACAACAACAAATGCCCTGGTCCAAATGGCTTCACACCAGAATTCTATTAAACCTTCAAAGAAGACCTTATTCCCATACTACAGAAATTATTCCAAAAAATTGAGGAGGAAGGAATCTTCCCCAACAAGCAAACATCACTCTGATACCAAAACCAGGAAAAGACCCAACTAAAAAGAATTTCAGACCAGTTTCACTAATGAATATAGATGCAAAAATTTCCAAAAAATCCTAGCCAACAGATTATAGCTTATCATCAAAAAAGTCATACATCATGATCAAGTGGGTTTCATCCCAGGGATGCAAGGTTGGTTTAACATATGAAAGTCCATAAACGTTATTCACTGTATTAACTGTAGCAAAAACATATGATCCTCTCAATAGACAGAAAAAACATTCAATAAAATCCAGCATCCTTTTCTACTACAGGCATAGGTGGCACATTTCTGAAACTGATCAAAGCGATCTATGACAAACCCACAGCTAATATTTTACTGAATGGAGTAAAACTGAAAGCTTTTCCTCTCCAAACTGGAACCAGACAAGGTTGTCCTCTGTCACCATTACTATTCAACATAGTGCTGGAAGTTCTAGCCAATACAATTAGGCAAGACAAGGAAATAAAAGGCATCCAAATGGGAGCAGAGGAGGTCAAACTCTCCCTCTTTGCTGACGATATAATCTTATACTTAGAGAACCCCAAAGACTCAACTACAAGACTCCTGGAAGTCATCAAAAAATACAGTAATGTCTCAAGATGTAAAATCAATGTCCACAAGTCAGTTGCCTTTGTATACGCTAATAACAGCCAAGATGAGAGGCTAAATAAGGACACAACTCCCTTCACCAT